ACAATGTTTCAATTTTTTTTTCTTTCTTAAAAATTTAAATTATTGTCATCTGCAAAATGCTTTTATGGTGTTCATATATAGAAAAATTAAATGTTTTTAGTAGGTTTTAAAGGTGATCATATTTTTAGAGCTCGCTATTTTTAAATTATTCAACAATATTCAAGTTTATTAAAACCTCTTCTAGATTTTCTCAATCGTTTGTAACGATTTGCTGCACGACAACCAATGGCACACTGCTACAGTAAAAAGGAGAGCCAATCATCTGGAAGTTTCCGTAGAAGATTGTGAAACGAAAATCATAAAGTTGCCTGGGTCAGGTTATAACCTTGAGATTGATTCGATCCACATTGGCAGGGAATCTGACTACATGGCTTCTACCATACATCCGTTCAATGGGGAAATGCAGAACATCATCATTGATGATGTAAACGTTCTTGATTCCATCTCTTCCAACACCAAGATCACCAACGTCGACATCGACTCCACACTCGTCATAAGGTCATCAGATCTGGATCTCATCAACCCCGTCACGTTCAGAAAGCATTCTGAATCATTCCTACATGTGAACCCTCCAATGCTTGTATGTTCCATTGATCACCCCTTTATACCATCTCTTCGTTATCGTTGTTCAGCATTATTTTACATTTATTATCTTTTATTTTCTTGTCATTTAACTTTTTCTATTCTTAAATCATTTGGTGTTTCACTTTTTTGTCACTTTTGATATTATTTATAAAGTAACTAATGCTTGTTAACCAGATTCCAGACCAACAATCTCTGGACTTCAACTTCAAGACCTCGGATGCAAATGGTCTCATCCTTTTTGCCGACGGTTCAACAGATCGACTCATCTTTGAACTTGTTGATGGTCGTTTCAGAACGTCATTGAATGATCATTCCTCTGAATCGAAAAAAACTTACTCCGATCAAAAGACTCATCGTGTTAAAGTTACTCCTGTCAATGGCTATCTAACAGTCACCATCGATTACGAGCGACAGGATAGTAATCAATTATTTTTGAATAATGTGAACGGTTTGAATGCGAACAACGTACTGTATGTTGGTGGTGTGCCTAAAAACTTTGCCCTGCCTGATATCGTGAAGTCAAAGAATAAAGGATACACCGGCTGCATCAGCTCCTTCTCTCTCAATGAAAATTACTTTGACTTGATGAAGAACTCCAAAGAACCTTCCAGCTACGTTACTGCTGGATGCACTGGTTTGTTTTCTTTTTTATTCCATCTAACATGTTAATGAAAGTAGTTAACATGAATTTATTTTAAACGGAATGGAATTAAAATAATCAGACACGAGCACCTTCTGCTCTCCACAAACATGTCAACATCGGGGGGTGTGCACGGAAACAGAGGATAATTTCCATTGTAACTGTGCTCAAACTTCATTCGTTGGTCACTACTGTGAAGCTGGTATGTTTAATATACATGCAAACACTTATACACAACGTTAATATGGACTCAGACTCAAATGTCTACTTTGTAAACATATGCTTATATTCAGTAGCTGAAGCTGTTGTTTTTCTGTCACGGGGGTCTTAGCGTATATTTTTATATCTTTTTGTACAACATATTTGTTGACTTTACGTTTTGTTTAAAAAATTCTGCAGAATATATAAGATTGTGTCTCTCTCAACTTTGTAGATTCATTTAACATGCACTCGCCAAAATTGTATACATTGTATGCTTGTATACACTTTACTCGCATAGAATCAGAGGGATACAGATTCGGCGCAAATGGCAAACCTGGGATTGTAGTGTACAAAATAGCTCCTGCTGCTACAACTGAAAAGGATGAACTGGCATTTGGCTTTATGACATGGAAGGAGAACGGGACAATTGTGAGAATGGATGGTACCAAAGATGATTTCATACATGCCAAACTTGTTAGTTTCACGTTTTTATCTATTTTCTTTTGGTCCTGCTTACATATATTGTTTTATTTCAACAGCGTTCCATTTTGATTATTACGTTTATTTGCGTGACTCATTCATTTAACTGTTCAGTGATCTGCTAAATGCTATATCATATCAAACAAAAAATAAAAACGTGAAACAGATCAATTTTAAAGGTCACTGTCTCCTCCTTTGTATCGACGACACAAAAGTACACACACACATACCAGCGCACACACACACGCACGCACAGAGCATGACACCACTCATCACACACACATTGCACATGCAATCGAACAGGGCTTCTGCAATGTAGGACCTGGTTGTTTTAACCATTACGACACCACTCTGTTTTCATTTTTATTCTGATTACAAGAAGCACATTTTTAATGAAGAAAATTTAGCGATTTTAACAATAATAATTAGGAAAACGGGAATATGGTATTTGCGTACGACATCGGTGAGGGTGAGAACAAAGTCGTGGAAAGTAGGAAGACATTGAATGATGGTAGATACCACTATGCTTCATTTGTCAGGAATGGTGGATCTGCCGTGGTCAGGGTTGACCAGATGCCCGCCAGGAAAGTTCAAGGTTCAATATTTTATTAGATTTTCTTTAACTTTCGTGACATAGAGTTTTAATGCATTGTTGTTATGTTCTTTATTGTCATTTTTAGAAAACAAAAGTAGAATTACATCTAGTGTATAAAACTGGAAATTAGTTAAATTTCGACTTCTTCTTTCTTTCTCGTGCCTTATCCTTTCGGGACATTGGTGACCATAATTTTCAAGCCTCTTCTTTCATTTTCAAAAACCAGTGTGGAAACAATTGTTTGCAGTTTTTCCATCGAATCCACTATAATAGCTGTATCATCAGCATATCTTACATTGTTTTTATTCACGCCTCCATTGGCTATTCCAGGTAGATCTTCTATCTTTCTCATGTTGATCTCACTATATAAGAAAATAAGCCAATAAAATCAAATTATAAAATGAACAGGATTGAACATACATAAATATTTAAGCTAATTATAATAATAATGAAAGATTGAAAAAATGGATAATTAAGCACTAATTTATAATACAATATACCTACATACAATTTAAACTACGAAAATAAAAGTACATAAAATAATATTAATAATATTGTTTTTTAATAACTTCCTAAAATCTAATATTTAAGAACTCTAAGATTCTATAAGATTAAACAGAATAAAATAAGTTAATAAATGAATTTTAATAATAAGTCAATTTGTGTTTGTTTTTGTGTGTGTCCAAATTTTGACTAAATTCGCTCAATGTTGTATACAAAATAATATTGCCCGTCTTATTTGTCTTCATGGTCGGTATTTATATCAAACTAATTTTTCAAATTAATTATTTAATTTATAGCGAAAGTAAAATATTTTAAAATACGAAATTAAGGAAAACATTAGAACGGGTATATTTCTAAGTTACGTAGCTGCATTTAAAATGGATTGTCTTACTGTTTTGTAGGTGGTAGCACGGGTGCATTTGATAACATGAATGTGGTGAAAGTTGGTGGAGACTTGGATGAGAGTCGAAACATCATACATCCATTCAATGGCATCATTGCTGGTATGATGAATCTATCAAAGTTCTTTTTTAATTTTTTTAAATTAACTTTTTTATTTATTCCGATTTATTTTTATATGTTTTTAGAAAATTTTTAAAGTTTGTTTACAAATAAATATTCAATAAATGGAAGTAGTAATTTTGGATTTTCAGCGGTTAGTTTCTGGTTTACCAGCTTAAAAATCATTATAAACCATTTATCACTTAAATGATTGAATTTGCAACTTCTGTTACAAATTACCAGGTGTTCATTTGAACTCTCAACATCTGATCGCTGATGGCTTAAGTGGTAAGCAGAAGTTCAACTCAAAGGGAAGTTTCTACCAGGCAAGTCATCCCTTCAGACTGGAACATTCGTAAGTTAATGCTCTACCCTAATTGTTTTTATGCTTTTCTCTTTGCATCGCTATTTTTATATTTTTTTAAATGGCGTTCCCTGCGGTCTGCATTATTTTCATTTGTATTTGTGGTTTTGTATTATTTTCCTCTAATCTCTCTCCATTCCATTCATTTTATTTATACCTTGCACGTTCTACCAGTCTCTGGCTGTGTCGGGGTTGGTTTGATTTCTGTAAAGAATTATAAAAAATATATAATTATGGATCAAGTTACTTTGGTCGATTAGGACAAATTGAATGTTGGCACAAAATCCTAAGCAATGATGAAATAATAAATAATGCAGGTCGACAGATGAATCAGATGAGGAAACGATAAAGGAGGATGATTGGCACGGTGGAGGTGCAAGTTGGGGGGACGACGATGATGCTCAAACGGGGCAACTGCAAGGTGGACCGCCTGGTGCTGGCGTTTTCACCGATGGGCCGAGAGCTGCTGCAATTGCCGGAGCCATGTTAGGCGTTCTGCTTCTTTTAAGTTCCATCATGTGGGCGGTGTACAAGTTCAAGCCGGGTCTCATGACAGGAGCTTATTCGAAGATCAACACTAACGAACCAGGCGGTATTGTTGGAGCTGGTGCAGGCGCTGATTCTGACGTCATGGGGTCGTACAAGATCCACGATTGTGCAAGTTCAGGCCCGTTCACCTCAAAAGTTGGTGCAATGCTGAACGAATCCGAACAGACCACTGCCAACTCAGGTGCCGTGCATTTCAGTAACGCATCTGCCGTAGATGGTTCTGTGCATTTCACGAATACTGGTGCTCAGATGGGATACAACACTGGAGGCCTAACAATGCAGTCACAAGTTGGAGCTGGAATGAATATTTATGACACAGCTGGCTCCTTCAACACCATGCAGCAAACTTCAAACGTTAATTACGACAGTAACTATAGCGGCAACGTCGCATTCAATGCAGCAAATGCGAACGCCACGTTCGGCAGGCAGGTCAGCCCTCCTCCTTTTATTTTTCCTGATGGTGGTCAGTATCAAATGAGAAACATGGCTCTCAACCAATCGACACTGTACAACCAGCAAGAAGTTGTTCAGCAGCAGTACATAACTCAGCAACAACAAAGTCTACTTCCCCCACCACCACAACAACATTACTCAACCAGTTCATCTAATGTCTTCCAACAACAAGGTCTTCCCAATCTGATGTCCAACGAGGAGGTTCGAGTGGACTGCGTCCAACTGACGACCAACGGAAGATACGTGGTCACTGGATCCATTCAGGGGCCTCCTCAAGTTTGGGACATGAAGGTTGTTACTGCATTTTATTGCATATTTTAGCAATTCTTTTTTAATTATTCAGAAAATTTGTTAACCCTTTTTAACTTTTAAATCTAATATTTTCATTTATAGTTTAGTCTACATTTTTATTGTTATTTATTGGCGGTATTCAATAAAAAACAAAGAAAAAATTATTAAATATTCTTGAATTTTTTCATTCTAATTTGAATTAAATGCATTCTCGCGGTTTTAGCAAGATAATTACATACTTTCATTTTAAAACTACATTCAAACTTTCCATCTATTCATTCGATCATCTATTCATCTATCTTTCATTAATTCATACATTTATTCATCTATTTATCCATTCATCCATCTTCTTATCCATCCATCTACTTTCCATTCATTCATTCATTCATCCATTCATTCATTAATTCATATATCCACTTATCTAGTCTGGAGAGTTGATTCGTGTAATGCAAGGAGATGACCTCAACTCAACTGACCTTCACCTTGCAAATGGGGACTCTTATTTGGTTGGTCAGGTGGCCGACCAATCACAGGCCCCCTACACGAGGACCAACACTTACACGCCCGTCCCCCATGCTACCAGCTACAGAAAACTTCAGGTTCGTTTGCGTTTTTCAAATTTTTACTACGTTTGTTCCATTTCAAACAATTCAACTATTGTGTTTTGCTTCCAATTTGCAATGAAAAAAGTTAGAATTATTTACAGGCCGTTAGATGCTCATTGTGTTTTTTACTATTAAATTTGTTTAGATTTGGGATTTTAATTCCGGCAAACCTCTTGAGATGAAGAGCAATGAGTTCTGCACAGCCAGCTGCATGATGAACGATGGCGAACGAATGATCATAGGCAGGACGGAGAAGTTAGGCCAGGGTACGACCGTTGTAATCTGGGATATTCTGGCTAACGAGCCCATCAGACATATCTTCTGGCCCGGTTTTGTTGGATCCTTTGATGACCCTCTCACCTATATCAATCTCTCAAAAGATAACAGGCTTGTGTTATTAACTTGATGATTTTTAATTAATCAATTTGTTGTCTGCGTTAATTATTGATTGTAAAATAAATTAGAACATTTTTATCATAATTTTCCTCCCTTTTCCACCACCAGCCAATCAAATCATTGAACCAAAATATCCCATTCCAGATACATAATAGCTGGAGCACAGAATTCATCAGACGGTACAGCTAACTACGTGATGTTTGACTTGACGACGACTGACTTTGATCGCATGCCTCCAAATGTCATCAGCATCAACGCAAATGTGGAAACAACAACTATTCTCGAGAATCAGGAAGCTGTTACTGGAACTAGATCTGGTATGTGCTGGCTCATATATGAATGCAGTAGTCAAACTTTTCTAAACATTTTATTACATATACGGCGTCATATTTTCAATATTTCCAAATCGTTAATTGCCAATTTTTCATTTTAAATGCTTTTTTCAACTCATCTCAAACATAACAGGTGACTTGGTGATTTGGAGCTTGAAAACTGGTAAGGCATTGAGGCAGTTAGCCGCATCGTCGGCCACAAATCTAGCTGAATCAGCTCACCAGGGTGAAGTGACGTGTGTGTGCCTGTCGAAGGATGGACAGTACTTGGTGTCCTCTTCAACTGATGGCTCTCTCAAAATATGGAACATGGAACAGGAGAAGTTGCAGAGGACTTTGATTGGACACCGAGATGAAGTTCGTTCACTCAACTTTTCATTTTCTCACTTCATTAACACTTTTGAAAGTTTAATTTCATAAAACCGTGTCATAAAGCCGTGTCAGCATCGTGCTGATTTTTTCATTTTTGAATAGTTTTCATTCTAATGAAAATTTTTCGTGACGACAAGGTTTGGTGCTGCACGATATCCAACGACAACGAGCTCGTGGTCTCTGGATCACGTGATCAGACGATCCGTCTGTGGAGGGTGGAGGACGGAGGGTTGATGGCCTCCATACAGACGGGCATCGACATCTTCAGAGTGATGCTCAGCAACAACAAGAAGACCGTCGTTGCCCTCGCTGACAAGTTCGGAGCCAGGAAGCTGGTAATGTTGCAAGTCGTGAGGACCAAGATTAAGAGCAGTGGGGGTGGTTCCAGAGCCACGTCACCTATGAGCACTTTGGCCGCTAGTGATGTCAATTATAGATTTTAAGAGGACTGTGTCTGTTTGGCTCTCTGTCTTTGCACCTGTCTGTATTGGTTTGCTTGTATTCGTATGGGTGTGTATATTGTCTGTATGTATGTGTGCAGGTGTTTTTGTCTATATGCTTGTGTGTTTAATTGTATATGTTTGTTACGCTTTGTATTGTTGTTGTAATTTCTCACAGGTGAATTGTATCATCTAAAGTTTTGGCTTTGAATAGTTGGATGTTGTTTTATATTGCGTGGTAGTCGAGATGGTTTGGAGATTTCATGATGGATTGTTTTGTATGTATCATTACAATTTATTTTAGAGACTTTTAAATTTCATAACTACGTTTTTTTCCTCAAAATTTAGATGTAATCCGATCATGGATGAAGTAGTTTTTTTGTTGCTTGAACTAATGTTTAAAGTCTTAGAATTTTGTAGAAGTTTTGTTGATCCTGTTTGGGTTTTTGTTTTGAAGCTTAGATCACACAATAATAGTGTTAGGTTATCTGTTTTATTTTTCTTATTCCTCTCCATATTATTACTGGTATTTTTTTTACAATCGTCCATGGATATATATAATATATATAATATTTTATCCATGCAATCGTCGTCACCATCGCATCTTGTTCGCTTTATTTGAATTCATACCGAGGTGCTTATTTAGATCACTTAAGGTATTTTAACAGTATAATTGATAGAGCCTGTTTTTGGTCAGTAGATGTTTATTTTTTTTTTACATGGCTCAACCTTGCTGTTTCAATTAACTAGTTGTCTCTATGCAATGGAGAACTTTTTCTTATTTCGATGTTAGAACTTTTTTTTATTTTGTTTAAGGGCTAATGCTAATGATAGTAGTTAATTCAAGAACATCCTTTTTGTTTAACATTTGTAGAAGATTTCGTAGAAATCAATATTTTTAAAAGAAATTAAAGGAAATTTTTTTCTTACCCTTCTATTTTTTTAACACATTGTTTTGAAATATTGTTAGATACACGTGTGCCTTTGTTATTTGATACCTACCATGTAGAGATTAAGTTATAATTAAATGTAACCTTGAAACTCCGCTTTTGTTCATTAATATTCAAAGTTTACAGTTGATTGTTTGATGATCTTAATAATAGGACATGATTACATTTTTTAAGTTTGTGACTTTAGAATTTGTAAATAGCATATAAATGAATAATTCTAATTGTGGAATTTTAAAAAATATTTTTATATTTTTTATTTAAGTTTTTTCTACTTGATGAAATAACACGTTTTTATTTGTCTCATGAAGTTTTTTTTCTAATTTTTTTGAACGTTGTTTTTTTAATTGTTTGCTTACCTATTTTTTTTTACATCAATTGCAAGTTGTATTAAAATAGCGAAAATGTGCATGATCGTAAATGTTTATCCCATTATTACCAAAACATTCTAATTTATTAACAAACAACTAAATATATTCTTCAATTATTCAATTAACCACACCTTAACGACGTTTTTGATTCGATCATTTGATGCCTTTTAAATATTCAATGTTGCGCTATACCAACAATCATCAAAATTCGTTTTCATCATTTGTATATAAAAATTGGTTTATAGATATTTAAATTCCTTATAATTTATTTTTATTGTGAGTCTCTTAACACAGCTTGCTGACGTTTAAATGATTTTCTCAATTAAACAGGTGAATAATTTTTTGTTGAGTTTTTAAACGTTCACGCAACACACTGTTACTATTGCTATGTGGTAACTATACGCAAAAACTCATTTGACATGAATACGCAAAGTAAGATATATGAATGAATCAATCATTAGTGATACGTTCTGTATCTACGCGTCGGTGACCGCCATTGCGTTAATGTTTGAAGTTAAGGGATGTGAAATAACACGTTTAGAATGTAAATAAGTACAAGATTATTTCGATTGCATGAAAGTTATTGAAAAAATTTGAAGTCATTTTCCAGCGGCTTCTCCTCTTGATCTTTGGCACTGGTATTGTTTCATTATAAACTTTACTAGAAGCAAGAGCTGCATGGCGTTGTATATGATTTATAATTTTGAAGGTTGCGTAGATACCTAGCAGTTACGGTTCGGGCATATACATACATGTATATCGGGTGATTGACAAGAGTCGTTAAATACAGCGTAGTGATGCAGATCAAGTGCTTAATTCAATGGTTCCGCACATATGTAGAAAGTATTTTGATCATGATATTATGATGAAATAATTGAGATGTGTGGTTTCATATTCAGACTAACTGTTGGCATATCTGATTTAGAAAATACTTTGACTAACTAATCAACAACTCTATAGGACGCATCGCCACTCAAGTAATTCACTTTTAATGTTTCCATGCATAAATCACCGCAAAATTGAATGGTATGACCGTATGTATATGGTGTCGCTTTGCTGAAAATCAATTTCTTCTCGTCGCTTGCGGCTGAAATTTTTCCAGCCGTAACGTCTTATTTCAATGCAAAATGTCGAAAATGCGATGATTCCATGACCTAGGCATTTGTAAATTCATTGTGGAAATATCTTGTCATGGTGTCGCTTAGATACGACAAATATATAAATGTTGTTGCCTGGTTATTAAAGTTAAACGATTCCTCTATTCTATTGTTAGAAATTACAAGGGAACGCAGTAAATATTGCGAAAATAAGGTTACTTTTATTTTATTATTTATTTTATATATATATATATTATTTATATTTATATATATTATATTTTATTTTATCTGCCCTGTTTTTTTTATTGTGAATGGATTGAATGAAGTGAATGTAAATTATTTTACTGTATTGGTTTTACAATTTTGAATAAATAAGTGTATCAATTGATTTTTTATTTTTTTAATGTAATAAATGCCTTTAAAATCTTAATTCAAAATAATTTTCTAATTTTTTAAAGGCATTAAAACAATGCTATCCAGCGAAGATATGATGGATTTGGGTCCATTTCTGCAGCACTATGTGATGCGAAATCCATTTATACAAGAAAGCTGTGACTGGCCAAAACGATATGATCCATATATGAATAGTAATAAAAAATCAACTATACACCCATTAGCTAGAAGATTTTATAACTACAGTGATACAGCTTCTAGATTTAGAATTGATGATAATATTTCTTTCAAATATTCTAGATTCAGTTCTAGAAGTCACAAAAAAGTATTTGAAGTTGTAAAGACAGAAAAAGATCCAGTAAATGAAAATATTTTTATCTTAGAAGATAACTTATCTGAATCTGATGTTGCAGCTGTGATAAATGGAGAAAACCATCAGCAAACAACAATTTGTGAGGTTCTGGGAAATGAGGTTCACAATGAAAATTGCTCTTTAGATGTGAAAACTGATAATGGCTCCTCAACTCTCCAAAACGTTTTAGACAAGCTACCAGACAATATACAAATTGATCATAGTGACACAGATGATAATGAAAATACAATCAATGCAAAAACCGGATCATTAACCAGTTGCTCAAAGATTTCAAAACGTCACTCTAAAGCAAATGGCAACAAAAAATTCTCATATCTGATGAACAAACTATTCCTTGAAAATGCCAAAAACTACAAACTGCAGAAACAGCTAAGAATCAAAGATGATAACTTCTCAAATTTAGCTTATGAATTTGCAAGATTGAGAGATCAGTTTTTCAGTTTATCTCGTACATTTCAAAAGATGTCAAATATTTCTTTCAACTGAGGATCAAAAATTTTTTAGTGTAATATTGGAATTAGTTTGCTAGGGGCCAGGCCATTTAATTCCATAATCATTTTTAAGAAGCAAAAAGATATGACTAATGTTTTATTTATAAATTTTTGCCATTCCCAAGTTCTGCGTGTAAAGCTTTTTCAGTTCACATTAATAAAGTTTTCATATTTATATATAAAAGACTTGAAATTTAATTTAAAAATTAAAATTAAACTTAGAAATTTGTGATGGATGAAAAAGTTTCAAAATAAAACCAAAGTTTATAAACATTTTAAAACTAAAAACAAGATGGGAAATTGTATCATTTAAGTGTATAACTATGTACATTATATAACACGTTACATAAATTTACATGATAATGTCATTTTCTATATATATATATATATATATATATATATATATATATATATATATATATGCATTTCCATGGTCTAGTGCGTTAATTTATTTTAAAATGTGCGTAAAATATCATTCTCAAATTACAATGAGTCCGCTGTATTAATGAGAATAAGTAGCAACAAGAAAGTATAAAAACGTGAGTACACACACCATGCTAACTCAACTGCACATGCATAATATTTGTCTAATTTGAAACATACATGTGAAAAAGACAAACTCACAGACGAATATTATCATTTACTCTTCAGAGCCTTTTACCTCAAGTAAACAGGCATCTGTGGACATATACAAAGCATAATGATATATAAAAATGTGATAGCGTAATTAATTAATAAACGGGGTGCAACCAATACTTCATTCTAAGCATGAACGGCACGTTTGATGAGTTACAACACAATCCATCATCAACTGACACTCCTAAGCGCTAACATCGTTCTTCGTAGCAATTTGTTCATTTTGCTTGCCATTGCACTGTCAACTTTTCTATCAATGTAGTCCAGCAAGTTTACCTGCAACTGTTTCAGGACAACATCCAGGTGTTCTTTTGTGACCGGGTCATACGGATCTAAAAATACTATGGCCTCATCCAAGAATCTGACGAATTAAAAAATATGTTCTACTGTCTATCTTCAATAGTCAAAAATAGTTGCATCTGTTAAGGGGTTATATCCAATTCACTATTTGTAAACATCTGAAACTATTGATGAATACGTAACGTATGCATACACATCAAATCACGAAACCAACATAAAGCTGACCTGTACTTCAGTTCGGGTTTTGTGTTGAGGTCTGCGCCTAACTGTTGAATGAGTGATAGGAGGACAGACTGACTAAGCAGGCTCGAGTTGCCAAACACGACAGATATCTCGACACTTTCGCAGGTGAACTCCACAAGAGCAAGATCTGTGGCCGACAGAGCCTTAATTCATGTTAATACATAATTTAGGTCAAATTAAAAAGGAAATTTTATAGAAAAAAACAGACTAGGAGACTTATAGAAAAACAAACTTTCAAAATATGATTTAATTTTCAAATTTAAAAGTTATGAATAAATTTAAACGATAATACAAAAAAGAAAAAAAAATTACAGTTTGAAAAGCATCATTGAACTTTGAAGCTTTTATACAGGCAATAATATGATTTTTGTTTGAGATGTGGTCAGAATGATGAGAGGAGTTAGACGGAGCAGGAGTGACTGATCTGAGTGCAGCATCAAATTGGTCCTTGATGGCGACTTGCTGGTACTTCAATAAACTTACCAGCTCTTCTGATAACAACGTCTTTACTTCCGTTATTAACATGTTTTGAAGTCTTCAGTTTGTGAAATTATAAAATTTAGCCAGTTACAAAATGTATGCAAAAATAAATAATAATTAAATGAATTAGAGAACGAAAACTTACTCGTTCAACTTAGAGAAAAGTTTAATTTCATCATGTGTATTTTTACCACCAACAGCTGCCACGACAGCTGTCGTAGCTTGTTGAAGGTGAGAAATTTGATTTTGTAATGATTGGATGGTGGCATTCAGCTGCGTTTGAATCTGTTGTTGCTTGGTTTCAAAATGTGTCAGTGTCTCAGAAGCTGATTTCAGTTGAATGACAGCGGGATGTTTGTGACTCTCCAACGTCTTGCGTGTCTGATTCAAGTGAGATTCTAAACTCTGTATATCTGAAGAACAATACAATTATCCAGAAAACTGTCAAGTATACATTTAAACTCCATAATAATTTATTGTTAATATAATTCAAACAGATGAGAAATAATAAGGCTCAATCATTTACTTTAAAAAATATATATACCGGCAATTAATTTAAAATAAATAGATAAAAGTAGCTTACACTGTTGAGTTCCAGCTTTGAATGATGCATTCAGTTGTTCAATAATATTTTGGCATCCTTTCTCTAATGAAGGCACAACGATGTCCTGATTTATCGACCTCAAGTTGCCTCTCAATTCACTCGAGATGCTCTGTCCTATGCTGTCTATGGTAGGCTGTTTTTGTTGTTAACAAGTTATAAAATGAACACACGAGCGTACGAGTGGAATGGTCGCCGGAAATATATATTAAAGATCATTACTCTGCTAAACGAATCATCAAAAACGAGTTTGATCAACTTTGCCCCACAATTATAAACGTGAATAATAAAGATGAAAAATAAAGTCGTAGTAAAAAAGTAATATTTCAAAAATGGAAACCATACAGCATGTTGACACACTGCATGCTTCGATGAGGCTTGTGATTGAAATACCCACCTTTGATTTGAGCATCTTTGTAAGGTTGATCTTTATATTATTGTCAATAGAAGCAAGTTTTTGTGACACATCATGAGAGATCTTTTCTTTTATTACATCCAAACTTTGCTCTACTTCTATGACAATGAAATCTCATTGTATATTTATTGTTTAAAAACGAAGTCATGTTAACTTTAACACAATTCGATAATCGAGTTAAATTAATATGGAAAAGATGTAAAAAATGATATAAAATGAACAAAAATAATGCAAGTAAAATAATTTCACAGTACTTGGCAATATTGTTTTCTTTATTTCGTTTGAAACAATTTTTTCCAGTTGTACATCGATGTTAGCTTGTAGTGTGTTGGTCGTGTGCTGAAGGTGCTCAGCCTGGGACCTTTCATATCTCATCATGAATTCTCTGAACATTTCTTCAAGCTTGCATTCTGTTGAACAATGATTAAACAATCTGAGTCTAAATCATTGATAAAAAGAAAAAAGATAGCTTAGCTGTTTCCGCAGCTTGTAGTCGCTGGCAATATGTTGCAGTCAAGCTCATAAAATCTCAAAAATATAACTAAAAATTGATTAGTTGTTGTTTCACAAACTGGTATAAATAAAGAGTTGCAAAAGTATTGAAAGGATAAATAAATAAATGATAAAAACCAGTTAAAGCCTCCTTTTGTGCATAATCATCTCTGTTGAACGCGACACACAAGGAATCAACATTCTTTGAAACATCATCCAGCTGGTGGCCGAGACTCCTGAGGGATCCGTCAAATTGGGTCGTCTGCAGTTGTAGCTGGGAACTCAGGAATTTGATCTGCTGATCCTGGCTTCTCAACTGGTCCATAATGTCGTACGTGGTTGGTCCTATCTTCAGTGGGATCTATTGAATGTAATAATGTAAATGCATTTAATTTTGGATATAATGTTAGTAACGAAACAAATATAGATACAGAACTAATTACAATGAACAAATATATATATATATATATATATATATATATATATATATATAAATATATATATATATATATATATATAGCTACAGAACTAATTAAAAAGACACTGAATTAAAAAATAAATTTAGTAAATTTTAACATAAAATTAGCATACTTCAGGCAATCTTGACTGCTGGTTAGCTAGAATCCTAGAATTTAATTTGAAATAATAATTACGCTTTCAAAAACATTCAAAAATTGCAAATATCAAAAAAGTTCTGATTTGTGATAATGGAAGCATAGAATAAATTGACAAAAAATAAAGTTTGACATTTGACCTTATTCCGTCGCTATAATCAGCGAGATGTAAAGCTTTGGATATGATTGGCAGTCCATCCAAACTCTTCCTCTCCCTAAGCAAATTAAAACCAGAATATAATTATTGATTTATTTTAAAATTCAAAGTAACATACATACAACCTTTCAGCAAGATTGGTATTGGTAGCAGCAGCAACAGGAAGTTCTTCCAGACTCTTTCCAGCCTCATCTCCAGCAACTTTGCCAGCATTCCACGATGGATGACTGGGATGGTAGGCGCTGTGATACATCGGGGAGTGCGAGGTGACCGGGGCCAGCTCAAATAGGGATGTGCTCATCATGTACTGATGATGGTGTTGGTTGGATGTTGATGAGATTGAAGATGAAGCCTGAGAAAGTTATTTTTGGTGAATAAATAAGTATTTTTTATATACACTTTCAAAAAGTTTAATACAACAAACAACAGCATATTTTATCTCCAGGCTAGTTCAATATTTTTTCATTAAGAATAATTTGCTGCAAGCTGTAGTTACATACCAAACTTATTGTTGCATCTTCTTAAGCATAAAATGATGGGTTATAAAGATTGATAAGAAGATAAAATTTAATGGAAGATTTATTAAAAATATAAAATTTAACGAGAGATTATTAAGAAAGTAAAATTTAGTAAAGTACTAAAGAACCAACAGCATGGTGAGGTAATGGCGGGATATTCATCTGGAAAAAAAAGTATTGCATTGTAAATTTACAAAATTTAATCCAAATAAGTCAATAAATAAAATAAATAAATGAAGCAAATCAATAAATAGAAACATTTGTTTATGGGGAAGATAAAATCTTAACCATGCAATTAAAGCGTGAATAAAAAGAAAATGCATAGAAAGTAACTCATAATACGAATTTTTAAAATGATGAAGTAAAAAAAATTGAAAAAAAAAAACTATTTCTAACCACATTTAAATTTGGCAAGTGATGTGCTATTTGTTGTTGCTGTTCCATGTAGAGAGAAGATGACATCTGCTGTTGTTGTTGCTGTGATTTTTGCATCAGTTTCAAATGGGGCATGAATGTCTCATCATCATCATCATCCTCATCATCCTCCACATCTCCATCATCAACATCCTCATCATCTGAGCTGCTATTAATAAAAAATATTGGCAAATAATTTGTAACTTCATTAATATATAATGCCATTAAATGTAAATTTATTACTTAGTGAATTAACGCTCGAATATAAAATAACACTATAATAAACAGCTAGCTAACATTTCAGTCTGTATAAACGAAAAAACCAACTTGGCAGAATTAATAAACAGATTGACCAGCCAACTAACCAGTCGATCAACTAACAAACCTTTTTTCTTGATTGATAGAGGAGAGTCCTTCCATGGCACCCACGCCAGCCGCTCCCTCCAAAATTTCAGTGACTTCTTGACTGGCAGAACTTGTGGCACTGCTACTATTACCATCTCCGCCGCCGTCACCACCACGATCGAAAAACCTATCACCACCATTTCCAGACGTTCTTCCACTGGTACCAGCACCACCGCTAGCACCCACTCGTGCCCTGGTACCTCCATCTGGTCGATCCCTATCTGCCCCCTCAACATCGCCTCTCTCTTCTTCTCCAACTTCATCGTCGTCGTCGTCGTCATCAACGTTGTTGTCGTTGGGTTGTCGTGGACGATGGGGATCAAAGTCCACAGAACTGGATATCGAAGATTGCCTGTTGAAGATTTTGTGCAAGTCTTCTTATGTTATTGCCACTTCTCTTCTTAATTATTAGTAGAAAATTTATTTCCTAAGCAATGAATCAACTTAATCTCAAAATGCACGCTAATCTAACAGCAATGTATGAAGATAGGCTTTATGAACAAAAGATTCGGGAGTATCACGAAGAAAAACTAATTACCAACAAAACTTTAATCCTAGATTTGGCTATTTTCGCACGATACTTGGTAAGGATATTATAGAGATAAAACTTAGTTACCAAAAAAAACAACTAACAACAACGAAGCTGATAACAAGCCTCCATTGTGTTTGACAACTTTGACAGGAGCGAGATCTTGATTGACAGTATTGGAAGCTCGATCACTGTGGGAAGATATGGTTAAGTCGTTGTATGACAACGTGGCATTAGAAGGCGTTGTTAGCAAGGAGGATGTGTTGTGGTTTTCTGTGATTCTGGAAGCACGAGGATTTTTATTTGAATGAAAAACAATTGTTTGTGTGATGATTTGCTGGATGTGAAGAGGAGAGAAGCAGAAGAAGTCACATCACATAAAAAGTATCTATGATGCTCGTGAACAAAATATCTCCAAGTTATTAGACTGTTTATTTGTTTCATAACAATAAATGCCAAATTTTAATAATTATTCATTTTCTTACATAAGAATCATCATATTCAAATTGATGTTTGTTGAAAAATATAAACTCACATTTTCTTCAAACCAATATACATTCCACACATTTCTATTCTATCCCATAAAAAGTATTTACAACATTAAAGAATGAAATGTTACTGCCTCTTAAAATATAGAACTTATCACAGACTTTACACAGTGAATGAGGAGCAGAGTAACAATTACCTAATTGCCAAAAAATTTTGAAGAGAAAGAACTTTAAATTATTCTAAAACTTCAAATTAATTTCTTCCCACCTTGGTGACAGAAATTCATCGGGTCTCAACAGGATTGGTGCTTGCGTACCAGACGACGATGACGTCATCGAAGATGTCATCGGCGATGTCAACACGTTGTTGTGTTGAGCTGCAGTAGTTACTGGTTGATGTTGTTGTAAGAACTGTTGTTTCTGGTTGAGGGGAGGAGATGGAGAGTTTGTAGGAGTAAGCAGGACACCGTTGGAGCTATCTGATAGGAGATCTTGCATGCCACCTGAGGCTTCGTTGTAATATTTATACAGTATTTATTTCTACCCTATTTATACAGTATTTATTTGTATGAATTCATTGGTGAGATGGTGAAATGGCTAAGGTGCTTGATCCCGAGTTCGAACGCAAAGACATCGCTACCTATCACATGCAATGTGTGGCATGCGTGGATTCACACGTGTGTGTGTGTGTGTGTGTTGTTGATATCTCTGAAATTTATTCAAGGGAAAATTAATAATAATAGAAATGACAAATCTCTTTAAAGAAAATGTTTCAATTTTAATGCTTTATAAAAATATTATTTGTTAAGAATTTTGTAAAGTTTGAACATTATAAAAGATAATAATTGAAAATCTTAAAAATTATTTTCAAAACATTACTCATCGGAACAAAATTAACAAACTCTCAACAACCAAACAAACAAACGAACAAATAAACAAAAACGAACTACTACGAACAAATATACAAACACAAAAACTAACTAGAACTTTTGGAGGGAAATGATTCCTTACAAGATGAAGCAGAAACAGGTAGAGATGCTCTATACTTTATAGTTATTTCTTGAAGAGCTCTGTCGTTATATAAAATGTATTTACATAAAAATTTATTTATTAAAAATATAAATTTATATGTTTATTATATAAACATATAAATTTACCAATATGCTGTACAACTGAAGTTGTACATAATTTCTCATGAAGTATAAAATCATAAAAAATTTAAAAAGAACTGTACGCTATATAAAGGCGTGTTAAATGTAAACACATATGCCAGTACAATGCCGTGGTTAGAAATTTGTGACAAAATTTATAATTAAAAAAATGAAAACAATAATTATTAAAATTGATGACGTATTGAATAATAAGAAGGAGCAATAGAATAATGAAAGAAATTAGAAGTACTTGGAGTGAACAGAGAATAGTTGGATTTCGATGAACTGTGCATCTGCTGATTGCTTACTAGCCAGTCCATTAGTTCCATCAGCATCATTCTCTTCTTCATCTTCATCGTCGTTACCTTCCATTGAATTGACCATAATACAGTCACAAGAGAATATCAATTTTTTTCTATATAGATAGATATCGAAATCAGAGTTGCTTAGTAAATAAGCATCAAAGATTGAACTCCGAAACGAAATACGAAGTAATTGCAAAGGTTTCTTACACGTCACACAGACAGTGGAAAAAAATTAATATCTAACCAGCATGTGCAGGCCATTTCTTCCTATGTACAACCACGTTCCTGTCATCTTCCTCATTATCCCCATCCAGATTCAGCAATTCGTGAACTTTCTTCTTCAACTTCTTGTTCTTTGCGTGCACGTCAATGATGTCAAAACTCAGACAGGAGTGACTCAAAAGAAACTCGCCAACAAAACTTATAGAGGCATCTGTGAGTTCAAAGTCTTTGTATATGTGCATCACGTATACTACCTGGGAGAGGATGTTATTGCAGAATGAATGAGTAACAGTTTGGAAAAATTAAAAATTAATAACAAAATAATAAAGATTTTTTTCAACAGAAAAAAGTAGAATGAAAATGAGAATTGAGTCTCATGTTTAAAGTAATTGGATCAACGATCGAAGGATACATAAATCTGTATTAAATATATTAAATTAAAAAATTTAAATTGGAGTAGCCAAAAAACAACAGATATTATCCACATTCATAATGGAGGAATGTTCATTCGTAATTAAATTGTTGAATAAAATTGTTATTTATTGAATCAGATTATAAAATCATTAAATATCATAACCTACAGTATTACAAACCACTAATTTACCTGTCTGTTGATATCAGATAACACAAGAAACATGGCGCTCTGATCAATCTTGGCTTTTAGGCACGGCTTCATGTGTCCAATAATGTTAGAATCTTCTCCACTTTTAATCCTATCTCCACTGTCCCCATTTCCGGCTACTTCCTTGTCATGAAGGCCGAGTCGACTAGTGGATGGACTGACGAACGTTATGGTTTGTAAGCAGTGCCAGGTTTGGCAGTTCCAAATTTTCATCTCACTATTCTCATCACATCCAGTCAGCACAAATTTCCATAACTGCACACTGCATTAATTTGTATGCATATAAATAAACTAATGAACAAACAAACAAACAAAAAAAATACACAAATAAATAAATACATACATATAAATAAATAAATATATATATATATATACAAATAAATGCAAATTTTATAGAACTAATTTGAAATAAATAGATAGCTGGATAATTTTGGTGATAATTTAGAATTTGTCACAATTTATGGCATATGTATTGATGAAATAAATGGGCAATTATGTATGTATGAATTATTTAAAAATGCATAATAATAAATAAATGTCCTAATATTTTTCAACAGTTTCAACTCTTCTGTATCAACATCCTTAATAACCCTGATGTCTAATAACAACAATGACAAAATTATTAATAACTATCATATTAAAAAAAAAACAACAGAAAGAATAATATAATTATTGATGTTATTAATATTATTTTATTATATGATATGAACTAACTCGGGATTCTTATTCTTGTGGTCATCGAGAAAGTAGATGAACGAGATGGGTCGTCCATCGTGTGGCATCCAATGGTGAAGGCACCTAAAAAAGAGCGCGAAAAATTATGCACTGTCATTATCTTCATCATTATCAACACCACAATCATCATTATCATCAACATAATTATCACTATCGTCATCATCAGCCTCGTAACCACCGTAATCAGAAAAATAATTGTCGATATATTCTTCAAATTTTGTTTATTTGTGCAACAGCAAACAACATTTAAAATTTTTTCAAATAAATTTTCTAGAATTTACATTTGAATTTTTTCATTATAATCAGCGCATTTCTAGTATAGAACAAATTTAGGTCATATCATATAAATAGAATATACACAACACATAGAACAAATTTAAGTCACATTTTCACTGTTATCACATTGTATTCACATTTTACAGTTATCAACATCTCCAGTGTCTCTTCACCAACGACATAATTAATACGTCATTACCGCAGTCACTCACTACCAACACTGAGATCAACAACCAAAACTAAACACTGAGTAAATGAGCAGAAACAAATAGAGAAAAAGAAAGGAAGAGAAAAAGAGGGGAGAGAGAGAGAGAAAGAGAGAGAGGAAGATTAAAACAAAAAGTCAGAATGACAAACAAATAAAGGAACACAATGAACGACAAACAAAAAAATACAGGGATATACTTTGGAATGTTGGAATCCGACATGTTGACCTGAAAAAACTTGACCATCCCATCCAAACTTGCAGTGGCAACAGCTGTGGCATCTGGAGAGAATGCTGCATCAATGATTGGCTGGAAAGGGAAGAATGATAGATGGATGGATAAATAAAATGACAAATAAATTTATTTAAAAATAAGAAAGAGCTAGCAAATGATGGATATTTAATAATGAAGAGAACAAAATGTAAACACATACACATACACAACATGGTGATAAGATGTTTCATAACATTTCTCTTAGACACCTACTACATATTAAACTCACTAACATCATACATACACCTGTTCTATATGGCAATGGTTTACAGCAAAACCATCCCAAACTTCAATATTAAAACTATTACATCTAATTTATATAGTTAAAAACTTAATGATATCATGATATTTTACAGTAGTTATGACAATATACTACAAATAAATTTGCTGGGTTATAAACAGAATAACATGCAAAAAACAAATTTATCAAAAATTCAATGTATGTATATGATTTAAACAAGTATAATACAATTCATATCATCATTAGAAATCATTGAAATTCAGAACTCTAATCACTTCATTGTCACTACATCCTACCAAACCATCAACAACATCACCATTCATCATCAAGCACAACTCAATCCTACCTTGGTGTGACTGTTAATGAGATAGTATCCACTTTTAGTTTCATCAGGATTCAGCTGTGTGTTCCCATAAATCCTGTTCAACAGATCCAGATGCCACAATTCTGCCTGCGATCATGATGATGATGATGGTGATTGTCATGATAGCGATGTCTCCACGATTATGATGATAATGATGATGATGTGGTGGTGATGATGTGGCAATGATGATGATTGATGAACAGAAACTTTTGGTAGTACCAATGCTACAAGTATTTATAACAAATGTGAAGCATGCTTCATTTGAAAAAATAAAATAAAATAGTTTCTTTTTATGCTATTAATCACCAGAGTGTCAGAGTCAGATGAAAAATATCTGACTCCGACTCTAACCCATAAAAGTTCCGACTCCGACATTCTGTTAATCGCAATGATTAATTTTATAAACAGTCCCACACACCAAAGTAACAAATGTGTGTGTGTTTGTTTGTGTGGTGTGTATTTTGAAACATCTATCATCAAAATGAACACAAAAAAATAAAATCACACACACACACGCACACACACAAATACTAACCAATTCGTTGTGAGTGAGTATGAGCATGAGCGAGTCATCCAGCAGATTATCAGCCTCATCATCATTCTGCGGTGATGATGAAGACATTTGTGATTTATCATCATCTCCAATGAACGAGCACCAAACGAGACGATGATAGACTGCAGGCTGCCATGTTGCTGGCCTCAGACAGTTTGCAAGTAGTTTCTCTCTGCCAAAATATAAATCTGATATGCAATTAGTTAGTCAGATTAGCAAAACTATTTCATTTAAAACATTCAAACCTATATTTTCAGATTTTTTCATTAAACATAATAAAATGTATGCAAAGTTTTATTAAAATAAAATGAACCAACGTTAGTTTTTCTCCTGTCCCTTCAAAAAATTCATAAACAAACAAATTTCCAATAGCATCAACAATGCCCAGAATGACACGATCAGACGTAACAAAGCTAATATCCACAACTGCTCCAGAGAAATTCTTCAAAAGAGCTCTCTGTGAGGTCTTCCTGTTTGTCACTCTCACATTACCCCCTGTTTTACCTTTCAGTAGTTAAATAGTAAGAATGAAAATATATCAAATTTAAACCCAAAGTAATAATAAAACTTCATTTTTTTTACTTAAGATTTTTAATAAAAATGCTGAAACCATAAAAAATATGCGTTGGTAACATAATGCCATAATCAGAAAAATTCTTAAATAACCAATTTAAACTACTTTATGCAAGAAAATTTTCAATAAAAAAAAAGAATCTCACAGGTTAATACATAGGCCAAATAAATTTGATTGACATGACCAACTACAAGATTTCCATGGTAATACTTTGGAACCCAATCAAAATTCACTATTGGCTTGAATTTTACCTTTGAAAGAAAATGTAAAAGTCAAAAACAATATAGAGAATATTAAATACTACCACTAAAATATTAACATTTCATAACTTGATGAATAAAATAAATTATATTTTAAAAATTGATTGGGTGTTATCAAACAGTTATTGTGAATATGTTGCAAGGACTGACCATATTACTTGCATCCAAGTTTTGGTTATTCTGACTTGCCAAACTTGGGATAATTGTGACATCCTTGCTATGTACTTCATGTAGAAAGCTGTCATCCTTCCCAGTCAACAATCTGGAATCAATTTTCAATTTTAACAACATCTTAATCTAAATTTAAGCTAGTGATAATAGTAATTTGCCCTTATCCGTGTTTTATGCTTTTCTAGTAAATAAGTTAATATAAGCCATTAGCTAATATCATATTTTATATTCTTATCTAATTAAGTCAGAACAGTCTTTATGAAAACTCATATTAATAGGAATTACAAAATAAAATGAAAATTATTAATTAAAATTAATTAATTAAAATACATCTAAATGTATATTTTGTATTATTTTCACTCAAAATATCAAGTTATATTTTCATTTCTTGCATGTTGCAACCATCTCTGCATTAGTAGCCAGAGTTTGATTTTTATTAAAAATATAAGAAATTGTAATATGTATAAAAAAGAATAAATTGAAGATCAATCAATGTCTGTCTCTGTAATTTTAAATATATCTAATTATAGGTATCAAGCAGAAATTTTTTAAATGACAAAATGAAAAAACTAACATTGTCTGGGTTTGTTCAGCAGCAGAACCCCCATTGAACCATCCATTGTTGCCGACGGAGTGCTCCCCATTAGCATTCACGTCATCCATCGTCAATAAACTGCTATCCCACTAACAACTTAACTAAAAAACTGATTTTGCAATGTGCCGAATGAACAAACTCGCGTTTGTTCGGTTCGTGTTGTTAAGTGATTGTCGGCACGACGATGTTTGTCAGCCAGTTAGCAGTTATCAAACCTCGCTATCAAATTGGTTTTGCTTTTTATATGTAAAAAAAGCAGATAACTCAAAAAAGATAATCAAATACCTCTTAAACTAAATAAGATGTGAAAATTAGAAAATCACACAACCTAAGAGAAGATTAAGGTCTGAAACTGAAGAAAAATTTTGTAAAAGCAATGAAACTAAGGGATGTACAAAGCAAAAGGTTCCAAACAGAACCTTATTTTGCCGGTTGAAAAAAAGCTTACTTTATAATTTTTATAACCATATTGAAGATTATAATAGAAGATTAGCGTGATGGCGGCACGTTTTCTCGGTGGTTTTGTAATTTGGGTGGATTCTTGTTTTTTGTTTCTGAACAAGTGAGTTCTCTTCTTTTTCTTTAACTTGTAAATATTATTATGTCTTATTCTAGAGACTTTCTCTTAAGCCTCTCTAACACTCCTTTGTCTCCGACGAGAGTAGTTCGGCGGCGAATTTTTTACTTTAATCTTAGGTCTAATAATAACAATAAAAATAATAAATCTAACTCCAACAAAAAAATAAATATAGTTAGTAACCATAATTATATTAATAATAATAATGCTAATAGCAAGTATAATAAGAATAATAATAATTTTATTAAATCCCCCTCTAATGTAATTAATACTAATGATAAGAATAATAATTCTTATTCTATTAGTTTAAATAATATAACTTGATTTAAAAGTACCCATATCCAACCTACCTCTACATTTTCACTGTTAAATATTAACATAAGATCAAAACAAACAAACAAACACACGTTTAGACGGCATTTTCCCCGAGATCGGGGGTTGCCGCTTGGCTACCTATGATGAAACCGAAATACCCCTCGACTCCATCCACATCTGTCACTCGCCTCAGTATCACGCAACCCCGCTTTCACCCTGTCCTTCTCCACCTGCTCTCTCCATCCCAATCGCGGACGACCCCTTCCTACCACTCCTTCAACCTCGAACTCCAACGCTCGCCTAATCCCGACCCTTTCATCCCTTCTCAACACATGTCCATACCACCGCAATCTCGATCTCCTTATCAATGTCACAATGTCCTCATTCAGTCCCATCATTGACATCAGCTCTGTACTACTCCTCCTATCCTTCACTTTAACCCCACACATCATCCTCACCATAGCTCTTT